GGTTTCCCAGGGCTAACAGACAGAGGTACACACACACACCCTTGGGTTACCCAGGGCTAACAGACAGAGGTTACATCTAGCTGCTGTCTGTCTGTCTGCGTCTGTAATACCTCACCACAGGGCTAACACACACATCAACCAACACACTGATAACTATAATAACGTCCTTCATGTTTAATAAACAACCACTAACAACAAGGAAAACATTTGGTAGTCCATCGGTTTCAACAATGCATGTTATTTAGGTTTTACTTTGGATTCTTGAGTGACTCTGAAGTCTGAGTTTTTAGGGGAAGACTCAGACATGAGGGACAGGCAATACTAACCATGCTAACATGAATACTGCTAAAACAGTACTATAGTACTAATTACATGAGGGATAATCAACGAGGGCCTTTGCGTTCTACGGAAAATAATGACCGACGTGGAAGGTGTGTTAATAACAAAGAGTAGTATTGTCGTCAACAATGTTGTTATTTCCGTCACTGATGTCGCCATCGTCATTAGAATAAGCTGTGACGATAATAATAATATGTGTACTGTCACATGACATCCTCTGTCCATCTATTTCCTTGTAATGAATCCTCATCACATCTTAGCAGCAGCCTGGAGGTCTGATCTCTACCCCCTAGCAGCAGCCTGGAGGTCTGATCTCTACCCCCTAGCAGCAGCCTGGAGGTCTGATCTCTACCCCCTAGCAGCAGCCTGGAGGTCTGATCTCTACCCCCTAGCAGCAGCCTGGAGGTCTGATCTCTACCCCCTAGCAGCAGCCTGGAGGTCTGATCTCTACCCCCTAGCAGCAGCCTGGAGGTCTGATCTCTACCCCCTAGCAGCAGTCTGGAGGTCTGATCTCTACCCCCTAGCCTGGGGGTCTGATCTCTACCCCCGAGCAGAGGCCTGGAGGTCTGATCTCTACCCCCTAGCCTGGAGGTCTGATCTCTACCCCCTATCAGCAGCCTGGAGGTCTGATCTCTACCCCCTAGCCTGGAGGTCTGATCTCTACCCCCTATCAGCAGCCTGGAGGTCTGATCTCTACCCCCTAGCAGCAGCCTGGAGGTCTGATCTCTACCCCCTAGCAGCAGCCTGGAGGTCTGATCTCTACCCCCTAGCAGCAGCCTGGAGGTCTGATCTCTACCCCCTAGCAGCAGCCTGGAGGTCTGATCTCTACCCCCTAGCGGAGGTCTGATCTCTACCCCCGAGCAGCAGCCTGGAGGTCTGATCTCTACCCCCTAGCAGCAGCCTGGAGGTCTGATCTCTACTGTCACTCTGCTGCAGGGATGTAGCTCAGTTGGTAGAGCATGGCGTTTGGTTCGATTCCCACGGGGGGCCAGTATGAAAAATAAATGAAAAATAAAAAAGAATGTATGCACTCACTAACTGTAAGTCGCTCTGGATGTGGCCGGTTAGTTACCCAGCTAGAAGGCTGAAGGCCTGATCCCCAACCCTCCCTCCTGTCAGTGTATTTGTGCTGGGTATCCTGCTAGCCATGTCCCCCCCCAGGGTTAACCAGCTTGAAGGCCTAATCCCCAACCCTCCCTCCTGTCAGTGTGTTTGTGTGACCTCTGACCCTTGCAAGAGGAAACAGGAAGTGGCTGAGCGGTGTGTTAGAGGAGATAACTGAGGTGCATCCTCGCTGGGTGACTGACAGGGGGATGGCAGGGATGTTATTCAGGGATACAACACACTTCCTCCCCAGGTGCACTGTGCTAACCCCCACTACAAGCCCTCAGGCCTGGCCTAGTGCTAACCCCCACTACAACCCCTCAGGCCTGGCTGTGCTAACCCCCACTACAACCCCTCAGGCCTGGCCTAGTGCTAACCCCCACTACAACCCCTCAGGCCTGGCTGTGCTAACCCCCACTACAACCCCTCAGGCCTGGCCTAGTGCTAACCCCCACTACAACCCCTCAGGCCTGGCCTAGTGCTAACCCCCACTACAACCCCTCAGGCCTGGCTGTGCTAACCCCCACTACAAGCCCTCAGGCCTGGCCTAGTGCTAACCCCCACTACAACCCCTCAGGCCTGGCTGTGCTAACCCCCACTACAACCCCTCAGGCCTGGCTGTGCTAACCCCCACTACAACCCCTCAGGCCTGGCTGTGCTAACCCCCACTACAAACCCCTCAGGCCTGGCCTAGTGCTAACCCCCACTACAACCCCTCAGGCCTGGCCTAGTGCTAACCCCCACTACAACCCCTCAGGCCTGGCTGTGCTAACCCCCACTACAACCCCTCAGGCCTGGCCTAGTGCTAACCCCCACTACAACCCCTCAGGCCTGGCCTAGTGCTAACCCCCACTACAAACCCCTCAGGCCTGGCCTAGTGCTAACCCCCACTACAACCCCTCAGGCCTGGCTGTGCTAACCCCCACTACAACCCCTCAGGCCTGGCCTAGTGCTAACCCCCACTACAACCCCTCAGGCCTGGCCTAGTGCTAACCCCCACTACAACCCCTCAGGCCTGGCCTAGTTAGTCACAGCTAAATTCTCGTCAACATCTGCAACAATGCAACTATGTTTATGTGTTGGTTTTTACTTTGATGAGGTAAACTCTTCACTTTCCCTCAATCCTAAATCTACGGCCATAGAGTCATGAACAGGGAGGAAATCCCACATCATTTATTAATCAATTGTCCGTTTTTGTCTGTCAAAAGTTTAATCACCACTCCACTATTTTTGGACGAGCTACATACGACAAAAAGGTTGACATATTGTGCATGGTTTTTTTTTATGGACAATCGCTGTCCATCATTTGTCAACAGATGACTGCCATTGAAAAGCCATTGGCTCAATCTGTAATTTTCAGACACAAAATCTGTGTTGCAGTAGTCAAAAACAGGTAATCAGAAAGCTGAGAGCTGAAGACCATCGACATCAGAACTGCTGAGAGCTGAAGACCATCGACATCAGAACTGCTGAGAGCTGAAGACCATCGACATCAGAACTGCTGAGAGATGAAGACCATCGACATCAGAACTGCTGAGAGCTGAAGACCATCGACATCAGAACTGCTGAGAGCTGAAGACCATCGACATCAGAACTGCTGAGAGCTGAAGACCATCGACATCAGAACTGCTGAGAGCTGAAGACCATCGACATCATACATGAGAACTGTGTTTGTCAAAGAAGGCAACTTGATTTGGTTTGTTTATTTTCATTGACATCTTCCAAAAAACATTTGGCTTTTTCTGATTACATTAAAATCAGTCCTTCATTTAATCTGATGAGTACAGATTGATTGTAATATGTAAATGTCCAGTATTCATATTTCTAGATTTGGAGAAAGAGCATAATGTTAGTACCTGGATATGTAAGGGTGTACAGTGGATTAGGTTCTAATCAAAATGAAATGAATAGTGTGTGTCCTGTCACATGACGTCCTGTCACAAGACATCCTCTGTCCATCTATTTCCTGTGATGATAATATGTGTCCTGTCACATGACGTCCTGTCACAAGACATCCTCTGTCCATCTATTTCCTGTGATGATAATATGTGTCCTGTCACATGACGTCCTGTCACAAGACATCCTCTGTCCATCTATTTCCTGTGATGATAATGTGTCCTGTCACATGACGTCCTGTCACAAGACATCCTCTGTCCATCTATTTCCTGTGATGATAATATGTGTCCTGTCACATGACGTCCTGTCACAAGACATCCTCTGTCCATCTATTTCCTGTGATGATAATATGTGTCCTGTCACATGACGTCCTGTCACAAGACATCCTCTGTCCATCTATTTCCTGTGATGATAATATGTGTCCTGTCACATGACGTCCTGTCACAAGACATCCTCTGTCCATCTATTTCCTGTGATGATAATATGTGTCCTGTCACATGACATCCTCTGTCCATCTATTTCCTGTGATGATAATATGTGTCCTGTCACATGACATCCTCTGTCCATCTATTTCCTTGTAATGAATCCTCATTACATCCTAGCAGCAGCCTGGAGGTCTGATCTCTACCCCCTAGCAGCAGCCTGGAGGTCTGATCTCTACCCCCTAGCAGCAGCCTGGAGGTCTGATCTCTACCCCCTAGCAGCAGCCTGGAGGTCTGATCTCTACCCCCTAGCAGCAGCCTGGAGGTCTGATCTCTACCCCCTAGCAGCAGCCTGGAGGTCTGATCTCTACCACCCTAGCAGCAGCCTGGAGGTCTGATCTCTACCCCCTAGCAGCAGCCTGGAGGTCTGATCTCTACCCCCTAGCAGCAGCCTGGAGGTCTGATCTCTACCCCCTAGCAGCAGCCTGGAGGTCTGATCTCTACCCCCTAGCAGCAGCCTGGAGGTCTGATCTCTACCCCCCTAGCAGCAGCCTGGAGGTCTGATCTCTACCCCCTAGCAGCAGCCTGGAGGTCTGATCTCTACCCCCTAGCAGCAGCCTGGAGGTCTGATCTCTACCCCCTAGCAGCAGTCTGGAGGTCTGATCTCTAACCCCTAGCAGCAGCCTGGAGGTCTGATCTCTAACCCCTAGCAGCAGCCTGGAGGTCTGATCTCTACCCCCTAGCAGCAGCCTGGAGGTCTGATCTCTACCCCCTAGCAGCAGCCTGGAGGTCTGATCTCTACCCCCTAGCAGCAGCCTGGAGGTCTGATCTCTACCCCCTAGCAGCAGCCTGGAGGTCTGATCTCTACCCCCTAGTAGCAGCCTGGAGGTCTGATCTCTACTGTCGCTCTGCTCACTGTACCCCTTGAATAATTAAAAGTAATACTTTTTTGAAAGCTATATTGAACAGAAGAAAACAAAAAAGAGATTGCACAAACCGTGACAAGGCATAACATAAGCAAAAGCCCTAATGAGAAAGCAGAGTGATTTAAAGGTGCAGTTTAATTATGGCACCAAGTGATTTATCAATATCTACAGTGACCCCTAAACACAGGAGGAAACATCCACTAATGGACAACAGGTCCCATTTTGTCAAACGAGAGAGACAGGCATACGGCTGGCACTTAAAGCAGCATTTATTCCAACAGGTCTATTGCACCTTTATAAATGAGACCACTTTGTGCTGCATGCTGATAGAGAGGGTCAAGGTGATGATAAATGTACCATGGCAACTGTTCCATTGGAATGAAATTAAGCGATACGGAGCGCTTTGGTGATTTAGACTTGGGAAGCTCAAACAGCACACGCTTTGGGCAAACATTACATCAACTGGCAAATCAAGAGCCAAGGATCAGGAGAAACCCCATCTCAAAGACACCAGTCAGGACCAGGGGGAGCGTGTAGGAGCATTATGGGCTGTGGTTTCTGACCGTAGTCATCGATACACCTGTCCTAACTGGTCAACAGGAGGATGGTGTAGCAGCTGGATGGGCTGTGGTTTCTGGTTAGCATCGCTGACACAGGGGCTAAAGAACGGCAGCACTCTGCCTCTGGGGCCGTTGCTAAAGGAGTACAGGAGACTCATGTCATCAGCGTTATAGAAGGACACTCTCCTCTCATCACAGTCCAGGAACACCCCTATCCTCTGGGGAGACCACCCAACCTGCAGGACACAAGATGGAGGGGAGAGAGAGACAACAAGATGATATCAGGGTGAAGCAGTACTGGATCAATGTGTTTTAAAGAGCCACTTCCGTTCCAATACTCTACGGGTCTCACATACACGCTTAGAAAAAAAAGGTTCCAAAACGCTTCTTGGCTGTCCCCACGGGAGAACCCTTTGAAGAACCCTTTTGGGTTCCATATAGAACCCGTTTGGGTTCCATGTAGAACCCTTTTGGGTTCCATGTAGAACCCTTTTGGGTTCCATGTAGAACCTTTAGTGGAAGGGGTTCTACATGGAACCAAAAAGGGTTCTTCGAAGGGTTCTCCCGTGGGGACAGCCGAAGAAGAGTCTACACTTGAGTTTCAATAAACCCTGAAGCATCACTACTGCAGAGGATCCCACCTGGAGCCGTGTCCAGGGCTGTGTGCCTGCTGAGTACTGGTCTCCCTCTCTCAGTCGTAGGGTCCAGTAACCGCTCTCTGGACTCAGCTTGACCCGGGCCTGACGGTCAACCCCCTCCGACGCCACACCCAGGTCCCACTTGGCCTTGCTGCCCACTCCTACCTAGAGGGAGGGATAGATAACATTAAATAAATGCCACAATACAATAACCCTGTTCTAGAACAAACACTGATAGACTAGTGTCCTGTACATCCATCTGTCTCACTACAGAAACAGGAGATAGACTAGTGTCCTGTCCAGGGGGTGTCCTGTACATCCATCTGTCTCATACAGAAACAGGAGATAGACTATGTCCCGTCCGCCAGGGGGTGTACTGGTACATCAAGCTGTCCTCACTACAGACACAGGAGATAGACTAGTGTCCTGTCCAGGGGGTGTCCTGTACATCCATCTGTCTCACTCCAGAACAAAACAGGCGATAAGGACCTAAGTGTCCATGTCCAGGGGGTGGTCCTGTACAAGCCATCTGTTCTCACTATCCAGAAACCACAGGAGATAGACTAGTGATCCTGTCCAGGGGGTGTCCTGTACTCCAGCGGTCTCACTACCAGAAAACAGGAGTATGACAAGTGTCCTGTCCAGGGGGTGTACTGGTACATCAAGCTGTCTCACTACAAGAAAACAGGAGATAGACTAGTGTCCCTGTCCAGGGGGGGGGGTGTACTGGTCAATCAAGCTGGTCTCACTACCGAAACAGGAGACACAGACTAGTGTCCTGTCCCAGGGTGGTGTACCTGTACCTCCATCCTGTCTCCTCACTACAGCAAACAGGAGATCGGACTAGTGTCCATGTCCAAGGGGTAGTCCTGTACAGCAAGGTTGTCCTCACTACAGAAACAGGGAGATAGACTAGTGTTCCTGTCCAGGGGTGTCGTCCTGTACCAGCAAGTTTCTCACCAGAAACAGAGATAGACTGTGTCCTGTCCAGGGGGTGTCCTTGTACATCCAGCTGTTTCAATACAGAAACAGGAGATAGGACTAGTGTCCTGTACATCAAGCTGACCTCACTACAGAAAACAGGAGATAGATAGGTCCTGTCAGGGGGGGTCCTGTTACAGCAAGTTGTCTCACTACAGAAAACAGGGAGATGACTAGTGTCTGTCCAGGGGCTGTCTGTACATCAAGATGTCTCACTACAGAAACAGGGATAGACTAGTGTCCTGTCCAGGGGGTTGTCCTGTACATCAAGCTGCCCCACTACAGAAAACAGCGTAGACTGTGTCCTGTCCAGGGGGTTGTACTGTACATCAAGCTGGTCTCACTCAGAAAAGGAGATAGGACTAGTGTCCTGTCCAGGGGGGTACTTTGTCATCAAGCTGTCTCACACAGAAACAGGAGATAGGACTAGGTGTCTGTCCAGGGGGTGTAATGTACATTCAAGCTGTCTCATACAAGAAACGGAGATAGACTAGTGTTCCTGTCCAGGGGGTGTCCTGTACATCAAGCTGTCTCATACAGAAACAGGAGATAGACTAGTGTCCGTCCAGGGGTGTACTGTCAGCAAGCTGTCTACTACAGAAAAGGAGATAGACTAGGTCATGTTCCAGGGGGTGTACTGTACATCAAGCGTCTCACTACAGCAAACAGGAGATAGACGAGTGGCCTGTCCAGGGGTGTAATGGACATCAAGCGTCTCACTACAGAAAACAGGGATAGATAGTGTTCCCTGTCCAGGGGGTGTCCGGTACAGGCAAAGTTGTCTCACTACAGAAAACAGGAGATTAGGACTAGTGTCCTGTCCAGGGGGTGTCCTGTACATAAGTGTCTCACTAACGAAACAGGAGATTAGACTAGTGGTCGGTCCAGGGGGTGTACTGTTACACAGCTGCTCCCTTACGAAACAGGAGAATAGACTAGTGTCCTGTCCAGGGGGGTTCCTGTACATCAAGTGTCCCTCACGAAAGAAACAGGCGATAAGACCGAGTGGTCCCATGGTCCAGGGGGTGTACTGTACATCAAAGCTGTCTCACTACAGAAACAGGAGATAGACTATGTCCCTGTCCAGGTGGGTGTCCTGTACTCAAGCTGTTCTCACTACAGAAAACAGGAGATAGACTAGTGTCCCTGTCCAGGGGGTGTACTGTACATCAAGCTGTCTCACTACAGAAACAGGAGATAGATAGTGTCTGTCCAGGGGGGTGTCCTGTACATCAAGCTGTCTCACTACAGAAACAGGAGATAGACTAGTGTCCTGTCAGGGGTGTCTGTACTATCAAGCCTGTCTCACTACAGAAACAGGAGATAGACTAGTGTCCTGTCCAGGGGGTGTACTGTACATCAAGCTGTCTCACTACAGAAACAGAAGATAGACTAGTGTCCTGGTCCAGGGGGTGTCCTGTACATCAAGCTGTCTCACTACAGAAACAGGAGATAGACTAGTTGTCCTGTCCAGGGGGTGTCCTGTTCATCAAGCTGTCTCACTACAGAAACCAGGAGATAGACTAGTGTCCTGTCCAGGGGGTGTCCTGTTACATCAAGTGTCTCACTACAGAAACAGGAGAAGACTAGGTCCTGTCCAGGGGTGTACTGATACATCAAGCTGCCGCACTTACAGAAAAACAGAGGACAGACTATGCCTGTCCAGGGGGTGTCCTGTACATCAGCTGTCTCACTACAGAACAGGAGATAGAACTAGTGTTCCTGTCCAGGGGGTGTCCGGCTTACACAGCTGTCTCAACACAGAAACAGGAATAGACTAGTGTCCTGTCCAGGGGTTGTTACGTACACTCCAGCGTCTCACTAAGAAACAGAAGATAGGACTAGTGTCCTGTCCAGGGGGTGTCCTGTACATCAAGCTGTCTCAGACAGAAAAAGGAGATAGATAGGTCGTCCAGTGGGTGTCCTGATACATCAAGCTGTCTCACTACAAGAAACAGGAGAAGACCTAGTGGTCCTGTCCAGGGGGTGTACTGTACATCAAGCTGTCTCCTACAGAAACAGGAGATAGGACTAGTTCCCTGGTCCAGGGGAGGTGTCCTGTACATCAAAGCTGTCTCACTACAGAAACAGGAGATTAGACTAGTGTCTGTCAAGGGCGGGGTCCTGTACATCAAGTGCCCACTACAGAACAGGAGATAGACTAGTGTATTCCAGGGGGTGGACTGTACATCAAGCTGCTCACTCAGAAAAAGGAGATAGACTAGTGTCTGTCCAGGGTGTCTGTACATCCAGCTGTCTCACTACAGAAAAAGGAGAAGACTAGTGTCTGTCAAGGGGGTGTCCTGTACATCAAGCGTTACACACAGAAACAGGAGATAGACTAGGTCCTGTCAGGGGGTGTATGTACATCAAGCTGCCGATACAGAAACAGGAGACAGACTAGGTCCTTCCAGGGGGTGTATGTACATCAAGCTGTCTCAATACAGAAAACAGGAGATAGGACTAGTGTCATGTCCAGGGGGTGTCTGGCTAACATCCAGCGTCTCACTACAGAAACAGGAGATAGACTAGGTGTCCTGTCCAGGGGGGTACTGTAATCCAGCTGTCTCCCTACAGAAACAGGCGAATACTAGAGTCAGGTCCAGGGGGTGTTCCTGATACATCCAAGTGTTCAATAAAGAAACAGGAGATAGAACTAGGTCCTCCATGGGTTCCCTGTACATCAAGCTGTTCATACAGAAACAGGAGATAGACTAGTGTTCCTGTCCAGGGGTGTCCTGTACATTCAAGTGTCTCACTACAGAAAAGGAGATCGATAGTGTCCTTCCAGGGGGTGTCCATGTACACAAGGTTCACTACAGAAACAGGAGATAGACTAGTGTTCCTGTCCTGGGGGGTGTCCTGTACATCAAGCTGTCTAACGACAGAAAACAGGCGATAGGACTGTGTCCGTCCAGGGGGTGTTTTATGTACATCCATCTGTCGCACTACAGAAAACAGGAGATAGACTAGTGTCCTGTCCAGGGGGTGTCCTTCCTTGTACATCAAGCTGTCTCACTACAGAAACAGGAGATAGGACTGTGTCCGGTCCGGGGTGTCCTGACATCAAGCTGCCTCACTAAAGAAACAGGAGATTACGACTAGGTCCTGTCCAGGGTGGTGTTTACTGTACATAAAGCTGTCTCCTACAGCAAAGGAGAAGATAGTGTCTTCCAGGGGGTGTCTGTACATCCAGCTTGTCTCACTACAGAAACCGGAGATAGACTAGTGTCCTGTACAGGGGTGGTCCTGTACATCAGCGTCTCATTACAGAAAAAGGAGCTAGACTTAGTGTCCTGTCCAGGGGGTGTACTGTACATCAAGGCCTCACTACAGAAACAGGAGACAGACTAGTGTCCTGTCCAGGGGGTGTCCTGTACCATTCCAGCTGTCTCACTACAGAAACAGGAGATAGACGAGTGTTCATGTCCAGGGGGTGTCCCGGACTCCAGCGTCTCACTACAGAAAACAGGCGAAGACTTAGTGTCGTCCAGGGGGTGTACTGTACAATCCAGCTGTCTCACTACAGAAAACAGGAGATAGGACTAGTCCTGTCAAGGGGTGTCCTGTACATCAAGCTGTTCAATACAGAAACGGAGGATAGACTAGGTCCTGTCCAGGGGGTGTCCTGCTTTACATCAAGCTGTCTAACTTACAGAAACAGGAGATAGGACTAGTGTCTGTAAGGGGGTGTCCTGTACATCAAGCTGTCTCACTTACAGAAAACAGGAGTAGACTAGGGTCCTGTTCCAGGGGGTGTACTGTACATCAAGCTGTCTAACTACAGAAAAACAGGAGATAGACTAGTGTCCTGGACATCAAAGCTGTCTCATAAAGAAACAGGAGATAGACTGTGTCATGTCCAGGGGGGTTCCTGTACATCAAGCTGTCTCACTTACAGAAACAGGAGATAGACTAGTGTCCTGTCAGGGGGGTCTGTAATCAAGCTGCTCACTACAGAAAAGGAGTGGACTAGTGTCCTGTCCAGGGGGTCATGTACATCAAGCTGCCTCACTACAGAAACGGAGATAGGACTTAGTGTCCTGTCCAGGGGGTGTCCTGTACATCAAGCTGCTCCACTACAGAAACAGGAGATAGACTAGTGTCCTGTTCCAGGGGGTGTCCGGTACATCAAGCTGTCGTCACTACAGAAACCGGGATAGACTATGTCCTGTCCAGGGGGTTGTCCTGTAATCAAGCTGTCGCACTACAGAAACAGGAGATAGGACTAGTGTCCTGTCCAGGGGGTGTCCTGTACATCAAGCTTTTGTCTCACTACAGAAACAGGAGATAGACTATGTCCTGGCCAGGGGGTGTACTGTATCAAGCGGTCCACTACAGAAAAAAGGATAGGGACTAGTGGTTCCGTCCAGGGGGTGTCCTGTACATCAAGCTGCCTCACTACGGAAACAGGAATAGGACTAGTGTCCTGTCAAGGGGGTGTCCTGGACATCAAGCGCTCACTACAGAAACAGGAGAGAGACTAGTGTCCTGTCAGGGGTGTCTGTACTCAAGCTGCCTCAACTTAACAGAAACAGGAGATAGGCCTCGGTTCCGGCCAGGGGGTGTCTGATACATCAAGCTGTCTCATACAGAAAACAGGAGATAGACGAGTGTCCTGTCCAGGGGGTGTCCTGATAATCAAGCTGTCTCACTACACGAAAACAGGAGCTGACTAGGGTCTGTCCAGGGGGTGTCTGTACATCAAGCTGCCCATACAGAAACAGGAGATAGAATAGTGTCCTGTCCAGGGGTCATGTAAATCAAAGCTGCCCCTATCTTACTACAGAAACCGGATTTTTTGATAGGATAGGTGTCCTGTCCAGGGGGTGTACTTGTACATCAGCGTCTCACTACAGAACAGGAGATAGGACTAGTGTCCTGGTGTTTTCCCAAGGGGGGTGTCCTGTACATCAAGGCTGCCTCACTACAGAAACAGGAGAATAGACTGTGTCCTGTCCAGGGGGTGTACTGTAATAAGCTGTCTCAATACAGAAACAGGAGATAGACTAGTGTCCTGTCCAGGGAGTGTCCTGTACATCCAGCTGTCGAACTACAGAAACAGAGATAGATAGTGGTGATTATGGTCTGTTTGTGTCATGTACACAAGCTGGCTCACTACAGAAACAGGAGAGATATTGTCCTGTCCAGGGGGGGTCCTGTACATCAAGCTGTCTAACTACAGAAACAGGAGATAGACTAGTGTTCCTGTCCAGGGGTTTCCTGTACATCAAGCTGTCTCACTAACAGGAAACAGGAGATAGACTAGTGTCCTGTCCAGGGGGGTATTACATCAAGCTGTCTCACTACAGAAACAGGAGATCGACTAGTGTCCTGGCAGGGGGTGTCCTCGTCTAAGCTGCCTACTACGAACAGGAAGCTAGAATAGTGTCGGTCCAGGGGGTGGTCCTGTACATCAAGCTGTCTCCACGAAACAGGAGATAGACTAGTGTCCTGTCCAGGGGGTGTCCGTACATTAAGCTGACCCATACAGAAACAGGAGATAGGCTAGTGTGTCCTGTAAAATCAAGAAACTGTCTCACTCCAGAAAACAGGAGTATAGACTAGTGTCCTGTCCAGGGGGTGTCCTGTAAATCAAGCTGTCTCACTACAGAACAGGCGATAGACTAGTGTCGTCCAGGGGGTGTATGTACATCAAGGCCCACTACAGAAACAGGAGATAGGATAGTGTCTGTCCAGGGGGGGGAGTCCTGTACATCAAGCTGTCTCATACAGAACAGGAGATAGCTAGTGTCTGTCCGGGGTGTCCTGTACATCAAGCTGCCCCACACAGAACCGGAGATAGGCTAGTGTCCTGTACATCAAGATGTCTAACTACAAAACAGGAGAAGACTGAGGTCCTGTCAGGGGGGGTACTTAACATCAAGCGCCTCACTACAGGAAACAGCGAGATAGACTAGTGTCCTGTCCAGGGGGTGTACTGTACATCAAGATGTCTCACTACAGAAAACAGGAGATAGACTAGTGTCATGTCCAGGGGTGTCCTGTACATCAAGCTGCCCCACTACAGAAACAGGAGATAGGATAGTGTCCTGTACATTCAAAGCTGTCTCACTACAGAACAGGAGATAGACTAGTGTCCTGTCCGGGGGTGTACTGTACATCACAGCTGCCTCACTACAGAAACAGGAGATAGACTAGTGTTCCGGTCCAGGGGGTGTAGTCCATCAAGTGTCTACTACAGAAACAAGGCGATAAGACTAGGGTACTGTCCAGGGGGTGTAATGTACATCAAGCGTCGCACTACAGAAACAGGAGATAGAATAGTGTCCTGTCCAGGGGGTGTCCTGTACTCCAGCTGTTCACTATAGGAAACAGGAGATAGGACTAGTGTCTGTACAGGGGTGTCCTGTAAACATCAAGCTGTCTCAATACAGAAACAGGAGATAGGACTAGTTCTGTCCAGGGGGTGTCCTAGTACATCAAGTGTCTCACTACAGAAAACAGGAGATAGACTAGTGTTCCTGTCCAGGGGGTGTACTGTACATCAAGCTGTCTCACTACAGAAACAGGAGATAGACTAGTGTCCTGTTCCAGGGGGTTGTCCTGCTAACATCAAGTTGCATCAACAGAAACAGGAGATAGATAGTGTCCTGTCAAGGGGTGTACTGTACATCAAGCGGTCTCACTACAGACAGGAATAGACTAGTGTCTGTCCAGGGGGGTGTCCTGTACATCAAGCTGCCTCACTACAGAAACAGGAGATAGGACTAGTGTCCTGTCCCAGGGGTGTACTGTACAGTCAAGCTGTCTCACTACAGAAACAGGGATAGACTAGTGTCTGTCCAGGGTGTCCTGTACATCCAGCTGTCTCCACAGAAAAAGGAGATAGACTAGTGTCCTGCCAGGGGTGTCCTGCTACATCAGCTGTCTCAATACAGAAACAGGAGATAGACTAGTGTTCCTGTCCAGGGGGGTTCCTGTACATCAAGCGTCTCACTACAGAAACAGGAGATAGGAATAGTGTCCTGTCCAGGGGGTGTCCTGAAATCAAGCTGTCTCACTACAGAAACAGGAATAGACTAGTGTCCTGTCCAGCTCTGGGGTGTACTGTACATCAAGCTGCTCACTCAGAAACAGGAGATAGACTGTGTCCTGTCCATGGGGTGTCCTGTACATCAAGCTGCCTACTACAGAAACAGGAGATGGACTAGTGTCCGTCAAGGGGGTTACTGTCTTTTCTCTACATCAAGCTGTCTCATACAGAAACAGGAGATGACTGTGTCCGTCCAGGCGGGTGTCCTTACATCAAGCTGCCTCACACAGAAACAGGAGAAGACTAGTGTCCTGTCCAGGATGGTCGTAACATCAGATGCCTCACTACAGAAACAGGGATAGACTAGTGTCTGTCCAGGGGGTGTTACTGTACATCAAGCTGTCCACTTTTTACAGAAACGGAGAGACTAGTGTCCTGTCCGGGGGGTGTCTGTACATCAAGCTGCCTTACTACAGAAACAGGAAGATAGACTAGAGTCCGTCCAGGGGTGTCCTGTTACACAAGCTGTCGCACTACAGAAAACCAGGTGATAGACTAGTGTCGTCAGGGGGTGTCCGATAATCAAGCGTCTCACTACAAGAAAACAGGAGATAGACTAGTGTCCTGTCCGGGGGTGTCCTGTACATCAAGCGGTCTCAATACAGACAACAGGAGGGCTAGACTGTGTCTGTCCAGGGGGTGTCCTGTAATCAGGCGTCTCCACATACAAGAAACAGGAGATAGACTAGGGTCTGTCCAGGGGGTGTCCTGTACATCAAGCTGTCTCACACAGAACAGGGATAGACTAGTGTCTGTCCAGGGGGTGTCCTGTACATCAAGCTGTTTCACTACAGAAACAGGAGAATAGAATAGTATCCGGCCAGGGGGTGTTCCTTAACATCAAGGCTGTCTCAGTAACAGAAACAGGAGATGACTAGTGTCCTGTCCAGGGGTGTCCTGTACATAAAGCTGCCTCACTACGAAACAGGAGATAGACTAGGTTTTTTTGTCCTGTCCAGGGGGTGCCAGACATCAAGCGTCTCACTACAGAAACAGGAGATAGACTAGTGTCCTGTCCAGGGGGGTTTCATGTACATCAAGCTGCCCACTACAGAAACAGGAGATAGGCTAGGTGTCCTGTACATCAGCTGTCTACTACAGAAAACAGGAGATAGACTAGGTCCTGTCCGGGGGTGGCCGTACATCAAGCTGTCTCACTACAGAAACAGGGAGATAGACTAGTGTCCTGTCCGGGGGTGTAATGTACATCAAGCTTGCCCACTACAGAACAGGAGATAGGATAGTTCCGTCAAGGGGGTGTCCTGTACCATCAAGCTTGTCTCACTACAGAAACAGGAGATGGACAGTGTACTGTCCAGGGGGTGTCCTGTACATCAAGCTGCCCCACTACGAAACAGGGAGATAGGCTAGATGTCCTGTACATTCAAGCTGTCTCACTACAGAAACAGGAGATAGACTATGTCCTGTCCAAACCATTTCTTTTTCTTCTTTTCTTTTTTGGGGGGGGGGGGGGGGGCGGGGGGGTGTACTGTACATCAAGGCTGCCTCATACAGAAAACAGGAGATAGACTGTTGTCCTGTCCAGGGGGTGTAATGTACATCAAGCTGTCTCCCTACAGAAACAGGAGATAGACTAGTGTCCTGTCCAGGGGGTGTCCTGAACATCAAGCTGCCCCACTACCGCAACAGGAGATAGGCTAGTGTCCTGTAACATCAAGCTGTCTCACACAGAAAAACAGGAGACTAGACTAGTGTCCTGTCCAGGGGGTGGTACTGTACATCAAGTGCCTCACTACAGGAAACAGGAGAGAGACTAGGGGTCCTGTCCAGGGGGTGTACTGACATTCAGCGGTCTCCATACAGAAAACAGGGGAGATAGACTAGTTCCGTCCAGGGGGGGTACTGTAACAACGCTGTCTCACTACAGAAACAGTAGATAGACTAGTGTTTCTGTCCAGGGGGGGTCCTGTACATCCCAGCTGTCTCACGATAGAAAAGGAGATAGGACTAGTGTCCTGTCCAGGGGGTGTCCTGTACATCAAGCTGCCTCACTACAGAAACAGGAGATAGACTAGTGTCCTGTCCGGGGGTTGTACTGTACATCACAGCTGTCTTCACTACAGAAACAGGAGATAGAATAGTGTCCTGCCATGGGGTGTCCTGTACATCAAGGCTGGCCTCACTACAGAAACAGAGAGATAGACTAGGTCCTGTCCAGGGGGTGCATGTACATCACGCTGTCTTCACTACCGAAACAGGAGATAGACTAGTGTCCTGTCCAGGGGTGTCCTGTACATCAAGCTGCCTCATACAGAAACAGGAGATAGCCGAGTGTCCTGTCCAGGGGGATGTTGTACATCAAGCTGTCTCCTACAGAAAACAGGAGATAGACTTAGTGTTACTGTCCAGGGGGTGTCTGTACATCACGCTGTTCTCATACAGAAACAGGAGAAGACTAGTGTACTGTACAGGGGGTGTCCTGTACATCCAGCTGTCTCATACAAGAAACAGGGATAGACTAGTGTCCTGTCCAGGGGGGTTCTGTACATCAAGCTGGCTCACTACAGAAAACAGGAGATAGACTAGGTGTCCGGTCCGGGTGTATGTACATCAAAGCTGTCCAACAGGAACAGGAGATAGACTAGTGTCCTGTCCAGGGGGTGTCTTACATCAAGCGCCTTCCTACCGAAAACAGAGATTAGACTAGTGTCCGTCCAGTGGGTGTACTGTACATCAGTGGTCCTCACTACAGAAACAGGAGATAACTAGTGTCCTGTCCAGGGGGTGTCCTTGTAAATCAAGCTGCCGTACTACAGAAACAGGAGATTAGAATAGGTCATGTCCAGGGGGTGTCCTGTACATCAAGCTGTCTCACTACAAGAAACAGGAGATAGACTAGTGTCCTGTCCAGGGGTGTCCTGTACATCAACTGTCTCATACAGAAACAGGAGATAGAACTAGTGTCTGTCCAGGGGGTGTCCGGTACACAAGCTGTCTCACTACAGAAACAGGAGATAGACAGTTGTCGTCCCGGGGGGTGTCCTGTAAGTAGGCTTCTCACTACCAGCAAACAGGAGATAGATAGTGCAGTCCAGGGGGTGTCCTGTACATCAAGCTGTCTCACTACAGAAACAGGAGATAGACTGGGTCTGGTCCAGGGGGTGTCCTGCTAACATCAAGCTGTGCTCACTACAGAAACAGGAGATAGATGTGTCCTTCCCGGGGTGGACTGTACATCAAGCTGTCTCAGTACAGAAAACAGGAATATAGATAGTGTCCTGTCCAGGGGTGTTCTGCTACATAAGCTGCCTCACTACAGAAAACAGGAGATAGACTAGTGTCTCCAGGGTGTGCCTGTACATCAAAGCTGTCTCCTACAGAAACAGGAGATAGACTAGTGTCCTGTCCAGGGGGTGTCTGTACATCAAGTGCCCACTACAGAAACAGGAGATAGGCTAGTGTCCGTACATCAAGTGTACACTACAGAAACAGGAGATGACTAGGGCCTGTCCAGGGTGTGTCCTGTACATCAAGCTGTCTCCCTACAGAAAACGGAGAAAGACTAGTGTCCTGTCCAGGGGTGTACTGTACATCAAGTTGCCCCATACAGAAACAGGGGAGATAGCTAGTGTCTGTCCAGGGGGTGTCCTGTACATCAAGCTGTCTCAATACAGAAAACAGGAGATAGGACTAGTGTCCGTTCCAGGGGGTGTCCTGACTTCAAGCTGCCCCACACAGGAAAACGGCGATAGGCTAGTGTCTGTACATAGCAAGCTGTCTCACTTACAGAAACAGAGATAGACTAGTCCTGTCCAGGGGGTGCTACTGTACATCAAGCTGCTCACTACAGAAACAGGAGATAGACTAGTGTCTGTCCAGGGGGTTTACGTACATCAAGCTGTCTCACTACAGAAAAGGAGATAGACTAGGTCCTGTCCAGGGGTGTCTGTACATAAGCTGCCACTACAGAACAGCGATAGGCTAGTGTCCTGTACACAAGCGTTCTCACTAAGAAACAGGAGATGACAGTGTTCTGTCCAGGGGTGTATGTACATCAGGCTGCCTCACTACAGGAAACAGGAGATAGACTAGTGTCTGTTCCAGGGGGTGTACTGCTACATCAGCTGTCTCCCACTACAAGAAACAGGGAGATGACTAGTGTCTGTCCAGGGGGGTCCCTGTTTTCTTATACACAAGCTGTCTCACACAGAAACAGGCGATCGATAGTTCCTGTCCAGGGGGTTGTCTGTACATCAAGCTGTCTCACTACGAAAAACAGGAGCAGCTAGTGTCCTGTCAAGGGGGTGTCCTGACATCAAGCTGTCTCACTACAGAACAGGAGACCGACTAGTGTCCTGTCCAGGGGGTGTCATGTTCATCAGCGGTATCACTACAGAAACCAGGAGATAGACTAGTGATCCTGTCCGGGGTGTCCTGTACATCAAGCTGCCTCACTACAGGAAACAGGAGATAGACTAGTGTCCGGGTCCAGGGGGTGTACTGTACCTCAAGATGTCTCACTACAGAAACAGGAGAAGACTAGTGTCCGTCCAGGGGGTGTCCGTACATCAAGTGCCCTCACTAAGAAACAGGAGATCGACGAGGTCCTCGTTCCAGGGGGTGTCCTGTACATCAAGCTGTCCACCCCCCCAAAAAACAAAACCCCCCAATACAGAAAAGGAGATAGACTAGTGTCCTGTCCAGGGGGTGTTCCTGTACTCAAGCTCTCTCACTCCAGAAAACAGGAGATAGAATAGTGTCCGGTCCAGGGGGTGTACTGTAATCAAGCGTATCACTACAGAAAACAGGAGAAGACTAGTGTCTGGCCAGGGGGTGTCCTGTACTCAGCTGTTCTCACTACAGAAACAGGAGATTAGACTAGGGTCCTGTCAGGGGGTCTCCTGTACACAAAGCTGTCTCACTAAGAAACAGGAGATAGACAGTGTCAGTTCCAGGGGGTGTCCTGTACATCAAGCTGCCTACAACACACCCCAAATACAGACCAGGAGGATAGACTAGTGTCCTGTCCGGGGGGTATGTTTTACATCAGCTGTCTCCTAAACAGAACAGGAGATAGACTAGTGTCCTGTCAGGGGGTGTCCTGTACATCAGCGGTCTAACTACAGAAACACAGGAGAAGGCTTGGAAGAAGGTACTTTACATACAGGAACATTAGTAGCACTTATATAGTGTACACACACACCACAACACACACACACAACAAACACACACAAAACAAACACACACACAACACCACACACACACACACACACACACACCACACAACACACCACACACACACACACACACACACACAAACACACTCTAATCTACCTCCCAGTAGTGGCGTCCAGTTGGAAGCTTGAGCCCCTAGCACGTTGACACACTGAAGGAACTCTTAGGGGTCCTTCAGTGATCACAATGCTAACACATGGAATAGCGGCAATATTATAAAAAATATATTTTGGAATAGGCCCATGGCTTAAGGTGTTTTGGAATCGAGCCCATGGCTTAATGGTTTTGGAATAGAGCCATGCTTAATGTGTTTTGGAATAGAGCAATGGCTTAATGTGTTTGGAATAGAGCCCATGGCTTAATGTGTTTTGGAATAGAGGCCCATGGCTTAATGTGTTTTGGATAGAGCCATGGCTTAATGTGTTTGGAATAGAGCCCATGGTTAGTGTTTTGGAATAGAGCCCATGGTTAATGTTGTTTTGGAATAGGAGGACAATGGCTTAACGTGTTTGGAATAGGCCCTGGCTTAATGTGTTTTTGGCATAGAAGCCCCATGGCTTAATGTGTTTTGGAATAGAGAACAGGGCTTTAAGTGTTTTGGAATAGAGCCCATGGCTTAATGTGTTTTGGAATAGAGGCCCATGGCTTAATGTGTTTTGGAATAGAGCCATGGCTTAATGTGTTTTGGAATAGAGCCATGGCTTAAGTGTTGGAATAGGAGCCCATGGCAATGTGTTTTGGAATAGAGCCCAGGCTTAATGTGTTTGGAATAGAGCCCATGGCTTAATGTGTTTGGACTAGAGCCATGGCTTAATGTGTTTTGGAATAGAGCCCATGGCTTAATGTGTTTGGAATAGAGCCCATGGCTTAAGGTGTTTTGAATAGAGCCCATGGCTAATGTGTTTTGGAATAGAGCCCATGACTTAATGTGTTTGGAATAGAGCCCATGCTTAATGGGTTTTGGGAATAGAAGCCATGGTAATGTGTTTGGAATAGAGCCCAGGCTTAATGGGTTTTGGAATGTAGAGACCATGCTTAAAGGTTTGGAATAGAGCCCATGGCTTAATGTGTTTTGGAATAGGAGCCCATGCTTAAGTGTTTTGGAATAGAGCCCATGGCTTAATGTGTTTTGGAATAGAGCCCATGGCTTAAGTGTTTTGGACTAGAGCCCATGGCTAATTGTGTTTGGAATAGAGCCATGAGCTTAAGTGTTTGGATAGAGCCAAGGGCTTAATGTGTTGGAATAGAGCCCATGGCTTAATTTGTTTTGGAATAGAGGCCCATGGCTTACTGTGTTTGGAATAGAGCCCATGGCTAATGTGTTTTGGAATAGAGACCTGGGCTTAATGTGTTTTGGAATAGAGCCCCATGGCTTAATGGGTTGGAAAGAGACCATGGCTTATGTGTGTTGGAATAGAGCCCAGGCTAATGTGTTTTGGATAGAGGCCCATGGTTAATGTGTTTGGAATAGAGCCCATGGGCGTAATGTTTTTGGAATAGAGCCCATGGTTAAGTGTTTGGAATAGAGCCCAGGGCTTAATGTGTTTTGGAATAGAGCCCATGGCTTAATGTGTTTGGAATAGAGCCCATGGCCTTAAGTGTTTTGGAATAGAGGCCATGGCTTATGTGTTTGGATAGAGCCCATGGCTTATTGTGTTGGGGAATAGAGCGCCCATGGCTAATGGTTTGGAATAGAGCCCATGCCTAAAGTGTTTTGGAAAGAGCCCATGGCTAATGGTTTTGGAATAGAGACCATGGGCTTAATGTGTTTGGAATAGCAAGACCACGGTTAAGTGTTTGGAATAGCGCCCATGGCTTAATGTGTTGGAATAGAGCCATGCTAGTGTTTTGGAATAGAGCCATGGCTAATGTGTTTGGGATAGAGCCCATGCTTAATGTGTTTTGGAATAGAGCCCATGGCTTAATGGTGTTTGGAATAGAGCACATGGCTTAATGTGTTTTGGAATAGAAGCCCATGGCTTAAGTGTTTTGGAATAGAGCCCATGGCTTAATGGTTGTCGCGCAAGGTAAGAAAGATTTAATCATGGGAACTCTCTCACAGGCTAATGCAGTTTCTCAAATGTTATTGGACACTCTTAAGCCTTTTGAATGTCTGTGGCCTAAGATGAATCTAACTATGTTTCCTCTTGAGCCCCCAATTGTAAACTTGACCAAAACCTAGTAGCAGGAGGTAAGGAGGTAAGCAGGAGGTAAGATGCTCATATGTGTTGAGAAGCTTAACCATGTATTAGAGCGTAGGTAGTAGTTAGCTGTAGTTAGGTATTGTATTTATCATAGGTTCGTATTGTTGTTTTGTAGGTTTCCGTAGGTAATTGTAGGTAGTATCGAATTCCCCGAGGCTAGCTACTAGCGGGTCAATACTGGAACGATTAGCAAGCTAGAGAGCTGGTCCCAATGTAATGTAGTGCTAGCCAACGTTTAATTTTTGATAACCATGTATTAGAGCTAGGTAGGTAGTAGCCGTAGTTAGGTATTGTATTTATTATAGGTTAGTATTGTTGTTATTGTAGTTTCCGTAGGTAATGTTAGGTTAGTATCGAGCACCGAGGCTAGCTAGCTAGGGGTAGATATGGTAAACGATTAGCAACGCTGGAAGAGTGGTTTCAATGTTAATTGTAGTACAGGCCAACGTTAATTTTTGCTGGTTATGCGTATGCAGGAACTAGACACGGACTGAATTATATGTTTAGTGCTGCTACACACCTTGGCAGTTGTTGTAACCAAGTATGATGCTAAATTGGGGTTAATGGATGATAGCTTGAGCAGTTAGCTACGGCGTTCATAGCTCAGGCATCGTGTTGTTGTGGTAGTTCCCTGTGTCTTGGCAGTGCGGCTGTAGCACGAAGCGAGCTAACCTAGCCGTTTTTTCGAACAGAGTCAGAGTCAACACCAATAGCCCATTGTGGCCGGTGTAGCACGAAGCTAGCTGCTAGCCGTTATTCAACAAAGTCAACACAGTGGCCATGCTAGCTACCCAACACGACCAGCTACGTACGGTAGTAGCTAACTACAATTAGTCTTGTCCTCGGCTAGCCAACGTCTCTCTGCTGCGTAATGAAAGGAACTTGACACCAGCAAAGAATGATCTGTTTAGTGTGTTATACACTATTGGTGGTTTGTTGTGACCAGTGGTGGTGCTAAACATTGTGTGTTATTGTATGGATGCTAGCTGCTAGTTAGCTTATGGTGTCATAGTTGGCCTAGCTGAATACAGGGTTGAGTCTATTCCTTTAAACTTGAACCGCTGTGGTTCACAACAATTCTGATTTCTAAAGGCGGAAGGTGGGAGAGTTTTGTTAGGGTTGGTTAGTGAAACAATTTAGTTTTGAGGGTAGACGTTGTGGTGAGGGAGGCCCTGCTCTCTCCGATCCCAGAGCTTAGCTCATTTCATTCGATATCCTCTGCATTTGTAGCATTGCTACAGCTGTCAACTAGTCTCTGCCTATCCATGTTCTTTCCTCTCTGCACAGGCTACACAACGCACCACACCGAGTGGCTTGCTGCCTCTCTAACCTGGTGGTCCTGCACGCACCACCCAAGTGGGAGTTCCAGGTCGCAGGCAGGCCTTGGAAAACTGACGCCCCCTTTCTGCTGCAACAAAGCTGGACTTCATCCCAGCCTATGCCAACTACAGTCCCTCGACTTCCTGGGCTGAAGGAAACATGGATCACCCAATAAACACTGCTACTCCTACTGCTCTCTCTAGTCTGACCATGTGTCTCGCATACCCCGAGAGCATCTGGTCAGAGGGGTGGTGGTACAGGAATCTCATCTCTCCCAAGTGGACATTTCTAAATTTTTCCCCTAACCCATCGTCTATCTCTCATTTGAATTCCATGCTGTCACAGTCATAGCCCATTTAAGCTTAATATCCTTGTCATCTTATCGCCCTCCAGGGTTCCTTGGAGAGTCATCAATGAGCTTGACGCCTTGATAGAGTTCCCTTCCTGAGGGAGGCTCCCCCTCACAGTTTGGGGGATTCAACCTCCTATGTCCACATTGAATCATTTCTCTCTGCCTCCTTCCTTTCCACTCCTACTCTCTTTTGACCTCACCCTCTCACGTCCCCCCCTATCACCAAGGCAGGCACTACGCTGGACCTCATCTCACTAGATGCTGCTCCTCTACTAATCTCACTGCAACTCCCCTCATGTCTCCGACCACTACTTGGTTTCCTTTTCTCATTCACTCTCCTCCCACCACATACTCACTCTGCCTACAACAGATGGTAATGCGACGCAGCAACCTTCGCTCTCTCTCTCCACTACTCTCTCCTCTTCCATCCTACATCTCTTCACTCTGTCAATCCTTCTCCCTCCATCTCTGCATTCTGCCTCCTCAACCTCCTTTACTCCCTTTCTGATCCTTTGGGACTCTCTGTGTCCCCTAATCCTCCGGCCGGCTCGAGTCCTCCCCTCCCAGCTCCGTGGTGATGACTCATGTGAGCTCACAGAACAGAGCTACGCCGGCCAGCCGGAGCGCCGAAAGGAAGAAAAATAAAACTCCCTTGCAGCTGGCATCTTTTCACTTTCCCTCCTCTATACATTTGCTTTCATCTGTTTCGCTGCTAAGGCCACCTTATACCACTCTAAAATTCCAAGCATCTGCCTCTAACACCTAGGAAGCTCTTTGCCACATTTTCCTACCTCCTGAATCCTCCCCCCCCCCCCCCCCCCCCCCCCCCTCCTCTCTCTCTGTAGATGACTCGTCAACCACTTGAAAAGAAGGTTGACGACATCCGATCCTCGTTTGTTAAAGTATAATGCACGTTGCTGTCTGCTCACACTGCCTACCCTATGCTTTGACTTCTTTCTCCCCCTCTCTCTCCAGATAAATCTGCGACTTGTGAATGCAGGCCGCCCCAACAACATGACCGCTTGAACCCCATCCCCTCCTCCCTCTCAAGACCATCTCCGGTGACCTCTCCCCTACCTCACCTCGCTGATCAACTTCATACTTGGGACCGCTGGCAATGTCCTTCAGTCTTCAACGAGAGCGAGAGTTGATCCCCTTCTCAAAACCAACACTCGAACCCACTGATGTCAACAAATACAGACCAGATCCATTTCTTTCTTTTCTTTTCCAAAAACTATTGGAGCGTGCCGTCTTTAGCCACACTCTCTTGCTATCTCTCTCAGAATGACCTTCTTGATCCAAACCAATCAGGTTTCAGGTGGTCATTCAAGAGACTGCTCTTCTCTGTGTCACGGAGACTCTCCGCACTGCAAAGTACTTCTCTCTCCTATGCTCTTGTCCTTCTAGACCTGTTGCTGCCTTTGATACTGTGAACCATCAGATCCTCCTACTCCCCCTCTCCGAGCTGGATTCCGGCGCGGCCCTCCTAGATTGCGTCCTACCTGGACCGGTAGCTTCACATACCAAGTGGCGTGGCGAGAAGCTGTCTCCGCACCACGGCTCTCACCCATGGTGTCCCCAGGGCTCAGTTCTCGGCCCTCTCTTTTCTCCATATACACCAATCACTTGGCTCTGTAATCCTCACATGGACTTTCTATCATGGCTGACGCTGACGATACACAAAAACTAATCTTCCCTTACCCCTTAGGATAACCAGGGTGGGAACGCATCCTCTGCATGTCTGGCAGACATATCAGTATGGATGACGGATCACCACCTTCAAGATGAACCCTGGCACGCGGAGCTGGCTCTTCCTCCCGGGGAAGGACGGCGATTCCATTGATCTCGCCATCACGGGTGGACAACTCCGCTGCGTCCTACTCCAGAGTGCGAAGAGCCTAGCGTGACCTGGACAAAAAACCCTGTCGTTCTCGCCAACAGCAAGGCGGTGACCCGCTCCTGCAGGTTCATTGCTCTACAACATTAGGAGAGTACGACCCTGCCTTAACAGGAAGCGGCACAGGTCCTAATCCAGGACTGTCATCTCCCGTCTGGAACTACTGCAATCGACTGTGGCTGGCCTCCCTGCCTGTTGCCACTAAACCCTACAATCATCCAGAATGCCGCCGCCGTTGGTGTTTCAAAAACTTCCCAAGTTCTCTCACGTCACCCCCCCTCCGCACCACTCCACTGGTTTCGTGAAGTTCGCCATCCGCTACAAGACAATGGTGCTTGCTATGGAGCAGTGAGGGGAACGGCCCTCTGTACCTTCAGGCTCGGATCCGTCCTACACCCAAACGAGGGCATTGCGTTCATCCACCTCGGGCCTGCTGGCTCCCCTATTACTCTGCGGAAGCTAGCTCCCGCTCGCCCAGTCAAAACTGTTCGCTTGCCTGGAAACCCCAAATGGTGGAACAAGCTCCTCCCGGACGCCAGGACAGCGGAGTCACTACACCTTCCGGAGGACATTTGAAACCCCACCTCTTTAAGGAAATAACTGGATAGGATAAAGTGTTCTTCTAAACCCCCCCCCCCCCCCCCAAAATTGTAAAAGTGGTTATCCCATGGCATAGGGGAAGCACCCATTTGCGAGTCGCTTGGCTAAGACGTCTGCTAAATGAAAGTTAATGGCCCTTGATTAATGATTAACCCCTAATTGCTCTGTAAGTCGCTCTGGATAAAGGAGCGTTTGCTAAATGAACTAAAATGTAAATGTAAAATGGTAATGGGTTTGGAATAGAGCCCATGGCTTAATGTGTTTTGGATAGAGCCATGTTTAATGTGTTTTGGAATAGAGCCATGGCTTAAGGTGTTTTGGAATAGAGCCATGGCTAATGTGTTTTGGAATAGAGCCCATGGCTTAAGGTGTTTTGGAATAGAGCCAATGGCTTAATGTATGTTTGGGAATAGAGCCAGGCTTAAGTGTTTGGAATAGACGCCCATGGCTTAATGTGTTGAATAGAGCCTGGCTTAATGGTTTTGGAATAGAGCCCATGGCTAAGTGTTTGGAATAGAGCCCATGGCTTAATGTGTTTTGGGAAACCTTAGAAAAACTGCTCTTTGACGATATGAAATAAAGAACGTCTTTACCTCCACGAACAATGGTTTGAAAAAGTTCCCTTTGGCATTCACACGATGTGCTGGAGTCTCTTAATTCTCAAGGTAATTGATAATATTGTCACCAACAAGACTATTGTCAATAAATCTTGTCTTTAGGCTACATCGATTATTACTGGCCTATGTGGTATATTCGTTTTTTGATATATTAGTGTAGTTTCTATGGGCCCTTGTCAGATGGCAGCCAACTTGGTGAAGGAGGGGTAGAGCGGAAAATGACGTGCCCTCTAACACTGCTGTTTGTGATATCGAATTTGTAAACCCTCCACCCTCACTCACAAACACAAGTGTTACTGTCAAATTCAACACAACAAAAGCAAAATTCTACCTGCCTCTCATTACATTGTACACTTTCTGCCTGTGGACATCTGTTCTACAAGTGCCAGCAGCAGTAATGAGACCCTTTGTTGCCATAATTGACTCTTTCGAGTACGATGGCAAACCCTTTTTTATCCACCGTATTGATGAAAGTGGAAGAGGGAAAGTGTTGCGGTGTTCCTTTCACCTTATCGTGGCATCCATCTTAAGCCCAGGCCCACCTTATAGTGGCTCCATCTTAAAACCGGCCCACCTCTATAGTGGATCACTTAAAACCACCCTATAGTGGCAGCATCTTAAACCACCTCTATAGTGGCATTCCATCTAAAACAGCCCCACCTCTATAGTGGCATCCATCTTAAACCAGGCCACCTCTATAGTGGCATCCATCTTTAAACACCTCTCTAGTGGCATCCATCTTAACCAGGACACCTCTATAGTGGCATCCATCCTAAAACCAGGCCCACATCTATAGTGGCATCATCTCAAACCAGGCCACTCATCGTGGCATCAAATCTAAAACAGGCCCAGCTCTATAGTGGCATCCATTCTTAAACCAGGCCACCTCTAGTGCATCCAGCGTAAACAGCCGGGTCTATAGTGGCATTCCATCTTAACAGGCCCAGCTATCAAATATGGCATCCATCTTAAACCAGGCCCCCTCTATAGTGCATCCCTCTTAAAACAGGGCCCACCTCTATAGTGGCATCCCATCTTAAACCGCCACTAATAGTGGCATCATCTTAAACAGGCACAACCTTTATAGTGGCATCAATCTTAAACCATGCCAGCTCTAAGTGGAATCCAATATTAACCAGGCCGGCTCTATAGTGGCACCATCTAACCAGGCCCCCAGCTCCCAGTACACTTCATCCGGAATCCACTTGTTTAACAAAGCAACGCCTCATTTCACCTAATTCTCTCATTCTGAAAGTTACAAAACACTGAAGAGGGGACACATTCGTTTCCAGATAGTCGTTTGTTCGCTAGTTAACATTTCACACAGATGCCAGGGTCCAGTAAGCAACTAACGCGTTATGACTGAGGAAACCGTACGGAGTCGTATACCAGTAATACTATAGCGAATGGCTTAGGTTACTAACGTTAGCTACTGAGTTGACGTTAGCTAGCTAGCTACGTTAGATGTCTGCCTATTAAGACAGATCATTTTTACACTATAAACTCATAATTGATCAGTTAAGTTGGCTAATGTGCTCAACATTTATCGGCTAGCTAACGAGGAATCGATCCAGCTAGCAAGATACTTAACAATGCTAACAATAACTTGTACACCAAACTTTCTCCTCACCTCAAAACATTTGCGGTTACAGCTTCACGAAGATGCTAGCAAGTCGAGTGCTGCATTTTTGTTATGTGAATTGGATTGGCTGAGCCTTGGAAGGCAGCCAGTAGTGATCCAAACGCGCATCACTCGTCGCTTACAGCATACATGATCCAAAGCCCCCGCGCCCCAAACTTTTCTCATCGGATCTACACGATCACGGAGGTACCTATTTGGATTCAAAATCGCGAATTTTGCGAAAAGTGACTAGTTGCATCCCGATTGTATCACCAATAGGCCAAAGTGTGTGCAGGTTTTTGCTCCAGACTAGCATACAATTAAAACAAATCTCACACGAAATGTCATGCATGTCCTTAATTTAGCGAAAACATCTATTACATCCCCACAGAAGTATGTGTTGGAGCTAGAAAAGGATGGCATTGTACGGCGTACTTCTCGTAACACGTCTGGATGTATTTGTACGGACTCACTTCTATTCGTGTAAACAATCAGCCGAATCAAGTGCCAGGGTGAGTACAATAAAGACAAGCACAATTTTTTGGGGGGTGGAGGTAGGGGGCAAATGTAGTGCACCTACAGGGAATAGGGTGGTGTTTGGAGGAAGCGTCATGTTAACTAGGCGTCTACAAGGTTTGAGAGACCGAAAAACATCTTCTCCAGGTATGTATTGTAGTGGTGCCAGGGATCTGTGCGAAGCCATCCAGGTTTCCAGCTATGTCTGGGTCCAACTCCAGGTAATGTATGTAGTGGTCCATGGATCTGGCTGCCGAAGCCATCCAGGTCCAGTCTGGTCCTGGGTCACCTCCAGGTAATTATGTGAGTGGTGCCCATGGATTGCTGCCGAAGCCATACAGTCCAGCTCTGGTCCTGGTCCCACCTCCAGTTAATGTATGTAGTGGTGCCATGGATTCTGCTGCCGAAGCCATCCAGGTCTAGCTCTGGTCCGGGGTCCACCTCCAGGTCCAGCTCTGGTCCTGGGTCCACCTCCAGGTCAAAAGGAATAAGACTAGTGTCCTGTCCAGGGGGGTCTGTAAATCAAGCTGTCTCACACAGAAAGGAATAGATAGTCCTGTCCAGGGGTGTCCTGTACATCAAGCGTCTCACTACGAAACAGGAGATAGACTATGTCCTGTCCAGGGGGTTTTCCTGTCATAACTGTCCTCGAAACAGGAGAAAACTATTGTCCTGTCAGGGGTGTCCTGTCATTCAAGCTGGCTCATACAGAACAGGAGTTTTACTAGTGTCCTGTCCAGGGGTGTCCTGACATCAAGCTGCTCACTACAGAAAAGGAGATAGAATAGTGTCCTGTCCAGGGGGTGTCCTGTACATCAAGCTGTCTCACTACAGAAACAGGAGATAGGCTTGGAAGGCTCTTTCAATACAGGAACAAGTAGCACTTAAGGTGACACACAACAACACACACCACACACACACAACAACACAACACACACACGCCACACCACACAACACACACAACACCACACACCACACACACACACACCACACACACACTAATCTACCTCCCAGTAGTGGCGTCCAGCTTGGAAGCTCTGAGCCCCTAGCACGTTGACACACTGAAGGAACCTCTTAGGGTTCCTTCAGTGCTCACATGTAGAACACATGGAATAGCGGCAATATTATAAAAAATATATTTTGGAATAGAGCCCATGGCTTAATGTGTTTTGGAATAGAGCCCATGGCTTAATGTGTTTTGGAATAGAGCCCATGGCTTAATGTGTTTTGGAATAGAGGCCCATGGCTTAATGTGTTTTGGAATAGAGCCCATGGCTTAATGTGTTTTGGAATAGAGCCCATGGCTTAATGTGTTTTGGAATAGAGCCCATGGCTTAATGTGTTTGGAATAGAGCCCATGGCTTAATGTGTTTTGGAATAGAGCCCATGGCTTAATGTGTTTTGGAATAGAGACCATGGCTTAAAGTGTTTTGGAATAGAGCCCATGGCTTAATGTGTTTTGGAATAGAGCCCATGGCTTAATGTGTTTTGGAATAGAGCCCATGGCTTAATGTGTTTTGGAATAGAGCCCATGGCTTAATGTGTTTTGGAATAGAGCCCATGGCTTAATGTGTTTTGGAATAGAGCCCATGGCTTAATGTGTTTTGGAATAGAGCCCATGGCTTAATGTGTTTTGGAATAGAGCCCATGGCTTAATGTGTTTTGGAATAGAGCCCATGGCTTAATGTGTTTTGGAATAGAGCCCTGGCTTAATGTGTTTTGGAATAGACCCATGGCTTAATGTGTTTTGGAATAGAGCCCATGGCTTAATGTGTTTTGGAAATAGAGCCCATGGCTTAATGTGTTTTGGAATAGAGCCCATGACTTAATGTGTTTGGAATAGAGCCCATGGCTTAATGTGTTTTGGAATAGAGCCCATGGCTTAATGTGTTTTGGAATAGAGCCCATGGCTTAATGTGTTTGGAATAGAGACCATGGCTTAAGTGTTTTGGAATAGAGCCCATGGCTTAATGTGTTTTGGAATAGAGCCCATGGCTTAATGTGTTTTGGAATAGAGCCCATGGCTTAATGTGTTTTGGAATAGAGCCCATGGCTTAATGTGTTTTGGAATAGAGCCCATGGCTTAATGTGTTTTGGAATAGAGCCATGGCTAATTGTTTGGAATAGAGCCCATGGCTTAATGTGTTTGGATAGAGCCCCATGGCTTATGTGTTTTGGAATAGAGCCCATGGCTTAATGTGTTTGGATAGAGCCCATGCTTAATGGTTTGGAATAGAGACCCATGGCTTAATGTGTTTTGGAATAGAGGCCCATGGCTTCAATGTGATTTTGGAATAGAGCCCATGGCTTAATGTGTTTTTGGCAATAGAGCCCCATGGCTTAATGTGTTTTGGAATAGACCCATGGCTTAATGTGTTTTGGTAATAGAGCCCATGGCTAATGGCTTAACTGTGTTTTGGAATAGCGCCCATGGCTTAATGTGTTTGGATAGAGCCCATGGCTTAATGTGTTTTTGGAATAGAGGCCATGGCTTAATGTGTTTTGGAATAGAGCCCATGGGCTTAATGTGTTTTTGGGAATAGGAGCCCATGCTTAATGTGTTTGGAATAGAGCCCATGGCTTAATGTGTTTTGGAATAGAGCCCATGGCTTAATGTGTTTTGGAATAGAGACCATGGCTTAATGTGTTTGGAATAGAGCCCATGGCTTAATGTGTTTTGGAATAGAGCCCATGGCTTAATGTGTTTGGAATAGAGCCCATGGCTTAATGTGTTTTGGAATAGAGCCCATGGCTTAATGTGTTTGGAATAGAGCCCATGGCTTAATGTGTTTTGGAATAGAGCCCATGGCTTAATGTGTTTTGGAATAGAGCCCATGGCTTAATGTGTTTTGGAATAGAGCCCATGGCTTAATGTGTTTTGGAATAGAGCCCATGGCTTAATGGTGTCGCTGCAAGGTAAGAAGATAATCACTGGTACTCTTCTCACAGGCTAATGCAGGGTTTCTCAAATGTTTATTGGACCCTCCTTAAGCCTTTTGAATTTTCTGTGGCCCTAAGATGAATCTAACTATGTTTCCTCTTGAAGCCCCCCAATTGTAAACTATGACAAACCTAGTAGCAGGAGGTAAGGAGGTAAGCAGGAGGTAAGCTTCTCATATGGTGTTGAGTAAAGCTTAACCATGTATTAGATCGTAGGTAGGTAGTTAGCTGTAGTTAGGTATTGTATTTATCATAGGTTAGTATTGTTGTTTTTGTAGGTTTCCGTAGGTAATTGTAGGTTAGTATCGAAGCACGAGGCTAGCTAGCTAGCGGGTAACTACTGGTAACGATTAGCAACGCTAGAGAGCTGGTCCCAATGTTAATGTAGTGCTAGCCAACGTTTAATTTTTGCTTAACCATGTATTAGATCGTAGGTAGGTAGTTAGCCGTAGTTAGGTATTGTATTTATTATAGGTTAGTATTGTTGTTATTGTAGGTTTCCGTAGGTAATTGTAGGTTAGTATCGAAGCACGAGGCTAGCTAGCTAGCGGGTAGCTACTGGTAACGATTAGCAACGCTGGAGAGCTGGTTCCAATGTTAATGTAGTACTAGCCAACGTTTAATTTTTTGCTGCGTTATGCAGTTATGAAAGGAACTAGACACGGACTTGAATTATCTGTTTAGTGTGCTAACACACTCTTGGCAGTTTGTTGTAACCAAGTATTGATGCTAAATTGTGTGTTAATGGATGCTAGCTTGCAAGTTAGCTACGGCGTCATAGCTAGGCATCGTGGGTTGTTGTGTGTAGTTACTGTGTCTTGGCAGTGCCGGCTGTAGCACGAAGCGAGCTACCTAGCCGTTTTTTCGAACAGAGTCAGAGTCAACACAATAGCCATTGTGTGCCGGGTGTAGCACGAAGCTAGCTAGCTAGCCGTTCTTCAAACAAAGTCAACACAGTGGCCATTGCTAGCTACCCAACACGACCAGCTAACTGTACGGTAGTAGCTAAATACAATATACTTGTCCTAGCTAGCCAACGTCTAATCATTGCTGCGTCATGAAAGGAACTTGACACAGACACGAATGATCTGTTTAGTGTGTTATCACACTATTGGTGGTTTGTTGTGACCAAGTGTTGGTGCTAAACATTGTGTGTTATTGTTATTGGATGCTAGCTTGCTAGTTAGCTATGGTGTCATAGTTGGCTAGCTGAATAAGTGGGTTGAGTCTATTCCTTTAAACATTGAACCGCTGTGGTTCACAACAATTCTGATTTCTAAAGGCGGAAGTTGGGAGAGTTTTTGTTCGGGTGGTTCAGTGAAACAATTTTAGTTTCTGAGGTAGACGTTTTTGGTGAGGGAGGCCCTGCTCTCTCCGCTCCCAGATGCTTAGCTCATTTCATTCCGATCTCCTCTGCATTTTTGTAGCCATTTGCTACAGCCTGTCAACTATGTCTCTGCCTATCCCTGTTCTCTCCTCTCTGCACAGGCTACACAAACGCACCACAACCGCGTGGCTGCTGCCTCTCTAACCTGGTGGTCCCTGCACGCACCACCCACGTGGAGTTCCAGGTCGCAGGCAGCCTCTGGAACTGCCGTTCTGCTGCCAACAAAGCTGACTTCATCCCAGCCTATGCCAACCTCCAGTCCCTCGACTTCCTGGCGCTGACGGAAACATGGATCACCACTGAAAACACTGCTACTCCTACTGCTCTCTCCTCGTCTGACCATGTGTTCTCGCATACCCCGAGAGCATCTGGTCAGAGGGGTGGTGGTACAGGAATCCTCATCTCTCCCAAGTGGACATTCTCAATTTTTCCCCTAACCCATCTGTCTATCTCCTCATTTGAATTCCATGCTGTCACAGTCACTAGCCCATTTAAGCTTAATATCCTTGTCATCTATCGCCCTCCAGGTTCCCTTGGAGAGTTCATCAATGAGCTTGACGCCTTGATAAGTTCCTTCCCTGAGGATGGCTCACCCCTCACAGTTTTGGGGGATTTCAACCTCCCTATGTCCACATTTGACTCATTTCTCTCTGCCTCCTTCTTTCCACTCCTCTCCTCTTTTGACCTCACCCTCTCACCGTCCCCCCCTACTCACAAGGCAGGCAATACGCTTGACCTCATCTTCACTAGATGCTGCTCCTCTACTAATCTCACTGCAACTCCCCTCCATGTCTCCGACCACTACTTTGTTTCCTTTTCTCTCTCACTCTCCTCCCACACTACTCACTCTGCCCCTACACAGATGGTAATGCGCCGCCGCAACCTTCGCTCTCTCTCTCCCACTACTCTCTCCTCTTCCATCCTATCATCTCTTCCCTCTGCTCAATCCTTCTCCCTCCAATCTCCTGATTCTGCCTCCTCAACCCTCCTTTCCTCCCTTTCTGCATCCTTTGACTCTCTGTGTCCCCTATCCTCCCGGCCGGCTCGGTCCTCCCCTCCAGCTCCGTGGCTTGATGACTCATTGTGAGCTCACAGAACAGAGCTCCGGGCAGCGGAGCGGAAATGGAAGAAAACTAAACTCCCTGCCGACCTGGCATCTTTTCACTCCCTCCTCTCTACATTTTCTTCATCTGTTTCTGCTGCTAAGGCCACCTTCTACCACTCTAAATTCCAAGCATCTGCCTCTAACCCTAGGAAGCTCTTTGCCACATTTTCCTCCCTCCTGAATCCTCCCCCCCCCCCCCCCCCCCCCCCCCCCCCTCCTCTCTCTCTGTAGATGACTTCGTCAACCACTTTGAAAAGAAGGTTGACGACATCCGATCCTCGTTTGTTAAGTCTAATGACACTGCTGGTCCTGCTCACACTGCCCTACCCTATGCTTTGACTTCTTTCTCCCCTCTCTCTCCAGATAAAATCCTGCGACTTGTGACTGCAGGCCGCCCAACAACCTGCCCGCTTGACCCCATCCCCTCCTCCCTTCTCCAGACCATCTCCGGTGACCTTCTCCCCTACCTCACCTCGCTGATCAACTCATCCTTGACCGCTGGCCATGTCCCTTCCGTCTTCAAGAGAGCGAGAGTTGCTCCCCTTCTCAAAAAACCAACACTCGACCCCACTGATGTCAACAACTACAGACCAGTATCCCTTCTTTCTTTTCTTTCCAAAACTATTGAGCGTGCCGTCTTTAGCCAACTCTCTTGCTATCTCTCTCAGAATGACCTTCTTGATCCAAACCAATCAGGTTTCAGGACTGGTCATTCAACTGAGACTGCTCTTCTCTGTGTCACGGAGACTCTCCGCACTGCTAAAGCTAACTCTCTCTCCTCTGCTCTTGTCCTTCTAGACCTGTCTGCTGCCTTTGATACTGTGAACCATCAGATCCTCCTCTCCACCCTCTCCGAGCTGGGCATCTCCGGCGCGGCTCACTCCTAGATTGCGTCCTACCTGACCGGTCGCTCCTACCAAGTGGCGTGGCGAGAAGCTGTCTCCGCACCACGTGCTCTCACCACTGGTGTCCCCCAGGGCTCAGTTCTAGGCCCTCTCCTTTTCTCCCTATACACCAAGTCACTTGGCTCTGTCATATCCTCACATGGCCTTTCCTATCATTGCTACGCTGACGATACACAACTAATCTTCTCCTTTCCCCCTTCTGATAACCAGGTGGCGAATCGCATCTCTGCATGTCTGGCAGACATATCAGTATGGATGACGGATCACCACCTCAAGCTGAACCCTGGCAAGACGGAGCTGCTCTTCCTCCCGGGGAAGGACTGCCCGTTCCATGATCTCGCCATCACGGTTGACAACTCCGCTGTGTCCTCCTCCCAGAGTGCGAAGAGCCTAGGCGTGACCCTGGACAACACCCTGTCGTTCTCCGCCAACATCAAGGCGGTGACCCGCTCCTGCAGGTTCATGCTCTACAACATTCGGAGAGTACGACCCTGCCTTACACAGGAAGCGGCACAGGTCCTAATCCAGGCACTTGTCATCTCCCGTCTGGACTACTGCAACTCGCTGTTGGCTGGCCTCCCTGCCTGTGCCATTAAACCCCTACAACTCATCCAGAATGCCGCAGCCCGTCTGGTGTTCAACCTTCCCAAGTTCTCTCACGTCACCCCCCTCCTCCGCACACTCCACTGGCTTCCAGTTGAAGTTCGCATCCGCTACAAGACCATGGTGCTTGCCTATGGAGCAGTGAGGGGAACGGCACCTCTGTACCTTCAGGCTCTGATCAGTCCCTACACCCAAACGAGGGCATTGCGTTCATCCACCTCTGGCCTGCTGGCTCCCCTTCCTCTGCGGAAGCATAGCTCCCGCTCAGCCCAGTCAAAACTGTTCGCTGCTCTGGCACCCCAATGGTGGAACAAGCTCCCTCACGACGCCAGGACAGCGGAGTCACTCACCACCTTCCGGAGACATTTGAAACCCCACCTCTTTAAGGAATACCTGGGATAGGATAAAGTGTTCCTTCTAACCCCCCCCCCCCCCCCCCCCCAAATTGTAAAGTGGTTATCCCACTGGCTATAGGGTGAACGCACCAATTTGCGAGTCGCTCTGGCTAAGAGCGTCTGCTAAATGACGTTAATGTGCCCTTGAGCAAGGCACTTAACCCTAATTGCTCCTGTAAGTCGCTCTGGATAAGAGCGTCTGCTAAATGACTAAAATGTAAATGTAAAATGTTAATGTGTTTTGGAATAGAGCCCATGGCTTAATGTGTTTTGGAATAGAGCCCATGGCTTAATGTGTTTTGGAATAGAGCCCATGGCTTAATGTGTTTTGGAATAGAGCCCATGGCTTAATGTGTTTTGGAATAGAGCCCATGGCTTAATGTGTTTTGGAATAGAGCCCATGGCTTAATGTGTTTTGGAATAGAGCCCATGGCTTAATGTGTTTTGGAATAGAGCCCATGGCTTAATGTGTTGGAATAGAGCCCATGGCTTAATGTGTTTTGGAATAGAGCCCATGGCTTAATGTGTTTTGGAATAGAGCCCATGGCTTAATGTGTTTTGGAAACCTTAGAACCTGCTCTTTTGCGATATGAAATAAAAACGTCTTACCTCCACGAACAATGGTTTGAAAAAGTTCCCTTTGTCAATTACCCACGATGTGCTGGAGTCTCTTCATTCTCAAGGTAATTGATAATATTGTCACCAATCAAGACTATTGTCAATTAAATCTTGTCTTTAGGCTACATCTATTATTACTGGCCTATGTGGTATATTCGTTTTTTGATATAGTTTAGGTGTAGTTTCTATGGGCCATTGTCAGATGGCAGCCAACTTGGTGAAGGAGGGGTAGAGTCGGAAAATGACGTGCCCTTCTAAAACTGCTGTTTGTGATATCGAATTTGTAATCCCTCCACCCTCACTCACACACACAAGTGTTACTGTCAAATTCAACACAACAAAAGCAATATCTACACTGCTCATCATTACATTGTACACTTTCTGCCTGTGGACATCTGTTCTACAATGTGCCAGCAGCAGATAATGAGACCCTTTGTTGCCATAATTGATCTCTTTCAGAGTACGCCTGGCAAACCCCTTTTTATCCACCGTATTGATGAAGTGAGAAAGAGGGAAAGTGTTGCGGTGTTCCTTTCACCTCTATAGTGGCATCCATCTTAAACCAGGCCCACCTCTATAGTGGCATCCATCTTAAACCAGGCCCACCTCTATGGCATCCATCTACCACCCTAGTGGCATCCATCTTAAACCACCTCTATAGTGGCCATCCATCTTAAACCAGGCCCACCTCTATAGTGGCATCCATCTTAAACCAGGCCCACCTCTATAGTGGGCATCCATCTTAAACCACCTCTATAGTGGCATCCATCTTAAACCAGGCCCACCTCTATAGTGGCATCCATCTTAAACCAGGCCCACCTCTATAGTGGCATCCATCTTAAAACCAGGCCCACCTCTATAGTGGCATCCATCTTAAACCAGGCCCAGCTCTATAGTGGCATCCATCTTAAACCAGGCCCACCTCTATAGTGGCATCCAGCTTAAACCAGGCCCGGCTCTATAGTGGCATCCATCTTAAACCAGGCCCAGCTCTATAGTGGCATCCATCTTAAACCAGGCCCACCTCTATAGTGGCATCCATCTTAAAACAGGCCCACCTCTATAGTGGCATCCATCTTAAACCAGGCCCACCTCTATAGTGGCATCCATCTTAAACCAGGCCCACCTCTATAGTGGCATCCATCTTAAACCATGCCCAGCTCTATAGTGGCATCCATCTTAAACCAGGCCCGGCTCTATAGTGGCATCCATCTTAAACCAGGCCCAGCTCTCCAGCTACACTTCATCCCTGAATCCACTTGTTTAACAAGCAACGCCTCATTTTCACCTAATTCTCTCATTCTGAAAGTTAACAACACACTGAAGAGGGGGAAACATTCGTTTCCAGATAGTCGTTTGTTCGCTAGTTAACATTTCACACAGATTGCCAGGGTCCAGTAAGCAACTAACGCGTTATGACTTGAGGAACCGGTACGGAGTCGTATACCAGTTAATACTATAGCGAATTGGTTAGGTTACTAACGTTAGCTCATCTGATGTTGTAACGTTAGCTAGCTAGCTAACGTTAGCTGTCTGCCTATTAAGACAGATCATTTTTCACACTATAAACTCAATATTTGATCAGTTAAGTTGGCTAATGTTGCTCAACATTTCTCTGGCTAGCTAACGAGAATTCGATCCAGCTAGCAAGATACTTAACAATGCTAACAATACTTGTCCACCACACTTTCTCCCTCACCTCAAACATTTTTCGGTTACAGCTCACGAAGTATGCTAGCAAGTCGCGTGCTGCATTCTGTTGTTATGTGATGATTGGCTGAGCCTTGGAAGCAGCCAGTAGTGATCCAAACGCGCATCACTCGTTCGCTTACAGCCAGTACTGATCCAAAGCCCCCCCCCTTCCGCCCCCAAACTTTTCTCATCGGATCTACACGAATCACGTAGGTCACCTATTTTGGATTCAAAATCGGCGAATTTTGCCGAAAAGGTGACTAGTTTGCATCCCTGATGGTATCCCCAATAGGCCAAGTGTGTGCAGGTTTTTTGCTCCAGACTAGCATACAATTAAAACAAATCTCACAAGAAATGTCATGCATCGTCCTTAATTTAGCTAAAACAGCTTATTTTACATCCCCACAGACGTATTGTTGTTGGAGCTAGAAAAGGATGCATTTGTAACGGCTTACTTCTAGTAACACGTCTGGATGTATTTGTACGGCTCACTTCTATTTGCGTGTAAACCTAATCAGCCGAATCAGTGCCAGGTGAGTACAATAAAGACAAGCACAATTTTTTTGGGGGGGTGGAGGTAGGGGTCAAATGTAGTGCACCATACAGGGAATAGGGTGGTGTTTGGGGACGCGTCCTGTAACTAGGCGTCTTACCAGGTTTGAGAGACCTGAACATCTTCCTCCCAGGTAATGTATTGTAGTGGTGCCATGGATCTGCTGCCGAAGCCATCCAGGTCCAGCTCTGGTCCTGGGTCCACCTCCAGGTAATGTATTGTAGTGGTGCCATGGATCTGCTGCCGAAGCCATCCAGGTCCAGCTCTGGTCCTGGGTCCACCTCCAGGTAATGTATTGTAGTGGTGCCATGGATCTGCTGCCGAAGCCATCCAGGTCCAGCTCTGGTCCTGGGTCCACCTCCAGGTAATGTATTGTAGTGGTGCCATGGATCTGCTGCCGAAGCCATCCAGGTCTAGCTCTGGTCCTGGGTCCACCTCCAGGTCCAGCTCTGGTCCTGGGTCCACCTCCAGGTCCAGCTCTGGTCCTGGGTCCACCTCCAGGTCCAGCTCTGGTCCTGGGTCCACCTCTAATGGAGGCCGCTTGAACAACATGTTCTTTCTTAACATTCTGCAAGCACTTTGTGACAACTGCTGATTTAAAAAAGGGAAACATAACATATATATGATTGATGGACATTTCTATTATATGCATCCCAAATGGGACCCTATTCCCTATATAGTGCACAACGTTTGACCAGAGCCTACTCTCTAACATAGTGCTTTGGTATGAGCACTACTCCTTTATTTCACACTAATCATCTTTTGACATTTTTTTTAAACAAACATGTTAGATAGTGTAGAGGTTCAACAGTGGCGCAGTGGTCTAAGGCCTGCAATCGCAGTGCTAACTGTGCCACTAGAGATCCTGGTTCGAATCCAGGCTCTGTCGCCGCCGGCCGCGACCGGGAGACTCATGGGCGGCGCACAATTGGCCACTCCGGTAGGTCCAGGGTGAGGGTGAGGATGGCCGGCAGGTGTGGCTCCCCGTATAATGATCAGGAGCGAAACACACAGGACACATATTAGCAAACACATCCACCCCATATACACACACACTAATACCAAACGCTCCTTAAGCGAAGCGCAGGAACATTAACATATACTACTTATACTCCTCTACTTCAACACAGTACAGGTTTTTGACAACTTGTTTCTGCTACCCGTTTGTGTCCGCTGAGGACGGTTTCAAAACGATCCTACCAACCACCAGCCACATCAAAAAACATGTAATATAGACAATGAGTTGAATGCAACAGATCAGAACATTTAGCGGTCTTGAAAATGTTGATATGTAAAGTTTTATTTCATCAATATTATTTAAGATGTAGTAATGTGACGAATGTTCCAAAATGCCCACATTGTAGCGCGGGGAAACACACTCATTTACACAATTAGTTCTATGCGTTAAATAAATAGTTTGAAAATGCTAATTGCTGACCGCCTCGCCTCAGATTCACAGGTGGGTGAATGTGCAGTGCATCAAAGGGGATCTGACATTCACTACTCGGCTTGATGACCATTTGCATCCGCAATGAACCGTGCCCTCGAGTAAGTCGACAGAATCAACTTTTAGACGTTAATGCTAACTATCTCATTATATTTGTCAAACATTGACCGGCGTTCTAGCCATATATTTATGATAATATAAAAGTATTGACTTTAACAGTAGCATGTTAGCATCGCGTTTAGCATGTTAAGCCCATCGCGATTGATAATGAACATGAAGCTGCCTAGCCCAGTATTCATATCACCCTACACTTTGACATAGTAGGCTTTTTCTATTTATTTACATACATGTAAAATCTATTTGACATATCATTCAAATGTTGCGCCCCTCCTCAGATACAATTCTGATTGCGATGCTAATTGTTGATTTATTGCCCCTGAGTTTGGAGATTATTTTTTTACCGAACAAAACTTAATCTATAATCTCTTGCTCCTAACTATTTGATTTCCTTAGTCGCCGGAAAGGAGGACATTAGCCTCACTGCTACAACTTCATCGCCGACATGCTGTACTCGCCACTCCGGACACCCCCCCACCCCCCTGAGCCTATTTAACATTGACGCTCTTCATCTCGTCCTGCTACTCTGTGTTTAGAACGGGATTTGATGAAGTCCTCTTCGTCTCACGTCTGGGGACCTCCAACGACTCCTCCTGTATGTTTCTAGACAAACAACAAACAATATACAGGCTCAGCGGTCAGAGATGTTAGGGCGTACAGGCTCAGTGCGTCCCGAGTTTAGGGTACAGGGCCCTCATGTGGTCAGCCAGTGTTAGGGCTACAGGCTCAGTGGTCAGAGTGTTTTGGGCATACAGGCTCAGTGTCTCAAGAGTGTGAGAGGCTACAAGGCTCAGTGCGTCAGAGCTGCTTAGGGCTACCCAGGCTCAGTGGTCAGAGTGTTAAGGAGCTACAGATCAGTGACGTTCAGAGATGTTAAGGGCACTCCAGGCACTCAGTTGGTCAGAGTGTTAGGGCTACAGGACCTCAGGTGGCAGAGTAGTTAGGGCTTTACAGGCCTCAGTGGTCAAGAGTGTTAGGGCTACAGGACTCAGTGGTCAGAGTGTTAGGGCTACAGGCCTCAGTGGTCAGAAGGTCAGTGTTCAGGGCCTACAGGCTCAGTGCGTCAGAGTGTTTTGCGCTACTTCTAAATAAATCCTCATGAGCCAAAGTGTTTACAGCGGTTCCCAGTTACCATGTATATAAAGCAGGGAGGGGCCACCAAAAAATAATAATAAAATAAGTAATAAATAATATGCCATTAGCAGAGCTTTGATCCAAAGCGACTTACAGTCATGCGTGCCATACATTTTTTTGTGTATGGGTGGTCCAATCTGAACTCATCACGAGGCGGGTCATGCCCTTACACACACAATGGAGTCCAGCAGCCACCTTAGCCCTTTTGGGCGCCCCCCACCTTGCGAGGAAAACCATTTTAGCAGCCCCCCCCCCACTCCCTCTTGACAAGAGGAAAAAGATAAATTTCACACATTTCAAGGCCAGGGGGCCCAAGAGAAAATGTTGCCGCTTTTAATAGCAAGTTTCCTGCAATCTACTACACATTTACTGCCGCTGATGAGAGAATATGAGATTAGAGCTGAGAGAATATTTCGTTGACATTTTTAATATAGATATGACGTGACTAACAAAAAAGGGCGCTTGCCGAACCGATCAGGAAAAGACAACAGAAAACAGGAAAATACAAAAATACAGGCCTCATTCCAGCGTCTGCCTGGTGCTAACACGATCTTTGACCTGACTGCTTGTTACGGTACATAAAGCCCCTCCATCTCCAAGTCTACTACTGACATTACAGCGTGAATTCAGTTCTGATCAGAAATTTTTCAGGAAGGGGAGAGAGAGAGATTTTTAATTACAGAAGCATGCGGAATACAACTTTTAAAAACGCTAGTTAAGGATGGATACTATAGGAATATCACGTTTCACATTCGATTATATCTACAAAAAGCGTTAAAGCGAGCGTGTATGTTTTATGTTATATTTGCCGATGATGCAGCTTGCCACACACAAGATGTTAGCTAGCGAGCCTAGTTTTGGTCCAACGTTAAACCAACTCTCTGAAGTTCAAAGACATTCAAAGTTTCTTCATAGAGAAGACAGTCATCCGTAGGTATTATAATTCTGCGGGCTAATTGAGATAGCATGTCATAACAAGAGATACCAGCCGCTCCAAGCAAGCTTCCCCACCCTCCACCCACTCTCCCCACCTGCAAAATGTCTGTCTCATCTACGCACCCTATAGCTTATAGCTTTTGACACCCTCCTTCAGCAAGCTGCTCTATCTCAAGTGATTGCGTGAATGTCTGAAGTAATTTAATGTCAAGCATAAAATTAAAAAAAATAGTTAAAGGAACATATACACCGTTACATTTTTGTGGGTTCAAACCGCAGTTCCAAAGAATGATGGTTGTGTTTCCGAACGAGACGATTGCTTTGCCCCGGGAAAACCATAACATACTGCTAAACCGATTAGTGACGTCAGTTGACGGACATAAGAATGAGAACATGATGATGCCCAAAACCACATTTCTCTA